AAAACGCCCTTTTTAAATAGTTAATCGAACAAAGTTGTAACTTAATCTTTTAGTCGTCAAAAATGGAATTAGACGCCAAATCTGGAAATAGGATCAAAAATTAGTCGCCAGATGCGGAATGGGATCTGAAAATGGAAAATGGTTAATCCTGATGATCCTGATCGGGACAATGGAACAAAATTATTAAATTATTGTATTGTCATCGGTCCTGGACAAGTGAGCAAAATTTCGAATTAATCTGAGATTTTTAAGCGGGTAAAAATTGAGTTCAAAGATTCTGTTACATATAAGTGAAGCTTATATGTAACGGAAGGGTGTTAAGAAAGTAACTGAATATAGTGTAACATTAATCACATTAATATTTTTACAACTGTTTATTATTTGGCTACTTTATCTTGTTGAAAAAAAAAATAGCCGTGTCTCTAAAATATTACAAAAAAAATCACCATCTTTAATACTTTAACAACTGAGCAATCATTATTCTACAAAACAACTACCATAAGATCCAGAGTATAACGTGCAATTTCAATACAAAAAATAAGATCAAAATTTACGGGTGCGCGCTATAAGCTGAGTAGGAAGAGAAAAGCTTTAAAAATAAAAGAGAAAAGCATAAACTTCTACATGTATCGAAATCCTCTTTATTTAAAAAAAATGGCATTACTTATGAACTCAGGATTGTAGTTCTAGAAGTATATTGTTTTTCTAATACTTTGGACAATACCTCGAACTAGTGACATCAAAAAATAAGAACATCATATACGTAAATTTCAGGCTTCTTCGTAAAACTGTGCTGTTTACATCTCGGGTTTGTGCCACTTTCCACAGAATTACTTTGTATTCCATGTTAAATCACTTAATATTTTATCTTGAAGGCATATTTAAATACAATTAAATTAAAATTATTTTATCAAAACATTCTAAGATATAAACAATCAATGTCACCCTCCCCCTTCAAATCAATGGGCCGCAGTATAATTTTCGAACGTTGACCGGATCGCAGCGATAAAGAAGTTGGACCACACTGCCTTAACCGACTTGATTAGGAAATTCAAAACACACCTAGATATTCTTTAACGTATCGTGAAAGCGTGGAGTCCGTTAACATCTGTAGTTTAAATTTCACACAATCTCTAATCATAATGCTGAAATTAAGTATAAACTATCTATAAATTGATTTTTTTTATAAATGAGATACGAATAATTTTTTTCTTCTGTATTCGAAATAGGTAAGTAGATTAGTGTCTATTGAATTTTATTTGTGATTAAACTTTTCTTTTAATAATTACTTACTTTAAAAGTTACGAAACTTTCTTGAAATTTTACTTTTTAGAAACGTTTATCAGATATTTTTCATATAAAATTTTTAAAAAAACAAGTTGAAAAACTTTAGTCTATTGATTAGTTTGGTTTTATATTCGTTCCCCAAGTTAAGTTCGATTAAGTTAATTGGCATGTGTATGCTTAAAAAATATCTGTGTGAATCGAAATCTTCGCTGAAAGTAATAAACATTTCATTTTTAAAAAAGTTCTGAGGCGTAGGTTCCACAGAAGCAAATATTATCAAGAAAGAAAACCTTTTTAAAAATTCCAAATATGTATCAGTAGATATTCCAAACTCTTTTATGTCACCAAAAATATTCTTCCAAGTATTATTCTATTTAACAAAACTGTTGCCACTGGCAAAAATTTTGTGAAATAAAATAATTTTTTTAAAAATCGTTTGCGTTTTGAATGTTATTTGAAATGTAGGCTTAAGTGCTTTTCAGTTGCCATTTATGAGAGTGTGTGAATATCTAACATTTCTCTGATTTCGCAGAAAATCCAAGGATTCCATGGGTCCTACTTGAAACAAGTTTTGACGTGCATTGGCGTCGTCTTTTCGTGTGGACTTCTCTGGGTACTCATGTCTTCAAAGAAAAGGTTCTACATGCATTGTACTCACTATGAGTGTTCGTTAAAGGAAGCTGAAAAAGTATTTCTTGTTGTAAGTCGACTTTGAAAATTAAAATTCCTTGATAAATAATGAAAATAGTAAGAGGTGATTTAGTTAATGTATATACAATAATTTAAAATAAACGCATTAATGTCATATTTATTAGTTTCAAGTGGGGTCTGGTGCCACTGAAGGTCCTTTGTGTAGAGCAGCGATACTCAACATGCGGGCCACCAAGCCTTTTTAAGTGGCCCGGTGATGGCCCATTGCTCTGAGAAATTCACTTATTTAAGAACATTGTACTAAGAATTTGGTGGGAAATTCTTTGTCATAAAATCAAATGTATCAATTGTGGTTTTCGCTGTCGGTGTCGTATTGGTACGAATTGGTATTCTTTTTCTATTTGGAATGGTTACGGTTAGTGATAACAGACAACAGTGGAGTAGCGACCATTTTATGGGTGAAACTAATTTTTAACTATCTTTCATATCTTGCAAGGAAAAAAATATTCGAAAAAAAATATATCATTTCAAGAATAGTGGGAGGTAAACTATTTTGTAGTGAAAAATAAACATGTGGATCAATAACTGTTTGATTTGTTACGAAAATGCTGTATTTAAAAAATACCATTAAACAGAAATCATTCAATGACACTTTTCCTCGAAGATCTCTGTCAAGAGCTTCAAAGTGTTTTGTCAGTGGTAATATCACACCGGTAACAAAGATATCCTATGAAGTTTGTTATATTAAAGGTAATCATATGAAACCGTTTACTGATGGAGATATTGTGAAGGAGTGTTTCTTAAATGCTTCTAATTTAGTGTTAATGACAAAAAAGATATTTAAAATAATAAAAATAAAAAAAGCAAAACAAGAGTTATAATATTTTAATCAATTTTCCACATTTTAAATTTCCAATGGTATCTTGGGCTTAAAACCCCCCCCCCCCCCCCTTCCCATTTATCCTCATGTTGCGGCCTGCGTGAAATAACTAACATATGTATGCGGCCCGCGTGAAATTGCTGACATATGTATGCGGCCCAGCAGAAAAAAAGTTCGAGTACCCCTGGTGTAGAGGGACCAGTGTAGTTAATCTGTCGAGTCCCAGTCTACGTTTAATGTCGTTTGGTGAGTGGAGTGCTCAAATCTGTTATCTTCGTTAATTGACCATGCGAAGTTAAGAGATTTGTTGCTAATAGCCCTCGTATAGTTTCGTAGTCCGACGTTTACAAATGACCAATCAATATATTCGAAAGAAAAATGTTTGTGTATTTGTATATCTTGTACTGGAGTACCTGTTGATCTTAAAACAGTTGAGGAAACATTCATATAATACTTGCAGTATGATAACTATTTTAAAATACAAATTCCTCACAAAAGATTTAAAAGTACAATTCTTTATTTCAATTGGTAGTAACTCCGAAAATGATGTGAATTTTTCAAAAATCCTAGTTCAGGCCCTCTGAAGAAATCTTGGCTTTATATAAGCAAAATATTATTACTATAAAAGCATTTTTCATCAAAGAAGAATGTTTTGAAAATAGGTAATTCTAAGTTCATTTTGTGCCAAAATATTGCATTTAAATAATTTTTTATTCTAATAATATTTTTAAAACAATTTTAGGCATGTATTCTAATCCAAGTGACACTAAATATCATGACAATTATCCATTTATACGCTTTTTTAAATCACGGTTCCGGACGTACTCAGATACCTTAATAGCATCTGCCTCTCTACACGGCGAATCTTCAGTAACACTGGGGCTCGAACTCACGACACGATTCGTCTCTTTGATCACGGGCTACACTCGACATATAATTAACGTCATAACCGCAGTCTTACTCACTCAAGGGACGAGACTGAGACCTGAGTTGTCCCCGTGCCTTCCAAATTTCCATACCATGCTAACTTAAAGACTTAGTTCTTCAACGTGCATTGGCCTCTCTCTACGGCGGTTACTTAGTGACTCCACATCGACAACCGTGGCTTCGAGCCCAGTACCGCTGAATACCCACCGTGTAGGGGGAGCGATGTACGTTAAATCTGTCGAGAGCTCAAACGTCCTTCCATTTGTGTGATGTGGAAGTTAAGAGAGGGAGATGCCAGCTCAGGTGTCGTCCTCGTCACTTGACCATGGTTCAAAATGACGCGGTCCGTCACCAAAATGCCCTCGAGTGGATGAAGAGTACGAAATTGATTTCACAACGACATCCACGAGTTCAAGATTAGGATCACTCGCCTAATGGGATCCGACGTGGTGTGGCAATTTAAAGAGAGGAGTATCAGCTGAAGCATCGTCCTCGTCACACACTTCTCCGAAGCTCAAGATTACGAGATCCGTTGCCAATAGTACTGGTGAATCTTCGAAATGCGATTTTGATCAACAATTAATCGAGATTAAAGCAAATTACGCAGGACGTTCGAAAGAATTTCTAAACTTTTTGTCATATTAAATTTCTTTTCAGGACACTTATGGGCAAGAGTACATTTCTAAAGTAAAAAGGCCTCGAGGGAAATTGTCTTCGTCCCAAACTTTCTTTTATTACAAAAAAATGAAGTACTGCTGGGATGAAAAGGAAGAGAAATTTGTCAGTGTTACGTAAGTTTTTCACCCCTGATAATTCCTCGTTCCAATTAAATAATAAATTTTCTCATAGATTATATCTGTTATGAAAGCTTTTTTGTTCAAACTGCTGAGTCATAAATCTGCGCATTGCCGTTTACGAGGCGTGCTTGGAAACCAAGTCCCGTTTCGAAAAAAAATAGCATAAAAATTATTTTTTTTCAAAACAAAACTTATTTTAACGCGAAAGTGCATGTCGAAATCTATTTTTCAATTCCTACTATTAGATCTCTTGCTCAAATTTTTTCAATCGTTAGTAAAATACTTTCAATTCATCCATTCTAACTCATATACCTTTTTTAAACTGGTAGTGGATGACACTTGATGTTAATACAGTGTTTTCAAATATTAATTCATTCATTAAATTAAAAAATGAATAAACAGTAACAAACAAAAGTAATAGTCCAACAGCATATAGTATTGGACTTTTGTGTCTCTCTGTGCCTGTAGCCAATGGATAGCGCGTTGGACTCCTCATCCAAAAGTCGTGGGTTCCAATCCCATCTGGAATAGCCTAATTTCTGTGATTCTTTTTTACTACACTATTTTATTGGAATAATTCAATTCAATTCAATTGAATGAATGAATAAATGGTAAAAAACAAAAACAAAATAGTCTAACACCCTATATAGAAAGGAAAATGGCAAAGAAAATCGTTTCTATTTTCTCACTTAAGATAGTGATTCTGTCCTAGGCATAGATATATTTATATTAATTGTAATTATTCAATAAAAAGTAACTAAAATAAAATGTTTAACATTGTAGGACCTAAGTAGGAATTGATTTAAATAATTTTTTTATATTACTTGTTTCACACACACAAAACAAAACTTATTTTAAGTGTTTTCGGTCGATGTTAAAGAATAGGACCCGAATTTGGAACCTTTTTTTCAGATATAAAAGAAATGAAAAATTAATATGACATTCTGGCTTAACTATCCTTTAGAGAGTAGCATTTTTTATCATACTTCCCATTTTTATAACCGAGTTGATTCATTTTTTCTGGTGTAAAATGTGTTTCGCATTTTTTATCCTATACCGTCATGTTAAATGGGCTTTGCCTTCTCGTATTAAAACAAAAAAGAAAGTATTCACGGAATATTTTGAAATTTTTAAAAACGCTATGTTGTTGACAGAGGTACGAGTTATAATGCAAATTTCCATGGAAAATGGGTCAGTTTTCTTTCTGAAAATGTGCTTCGCGTTTAGTTACAGCCCTCGTACTTTTACCGAAGACTGCCTTAACATGATAGAGCATTTCGGTAACTATTTTTCTACATAATCAACACCATTTTTCAGACATTTGTCATATCGGGAAACCAACTTGTCTGTACCCTCTTCAAAGACTGAACTGACTTCCACTGAACAGAGCCACTTCTGAACGACGGTTTGCGGAAACTCATTACAAAGCAATCTTATAGTGAACCGTCTGCTTTTACGAATTTTCTCATTCACTTTTTCAACCAAACCGTCATTAACTCCGTGCTTCGCCATAAACATTGGTGCACCCATCATTGAATTGTCGAGCCCCTATTCCATCTCTTTCACCATAAATCTCTACAAGTTGACGATGAATTTCAACTGGCTTAATATTCCTTGCTTTCATGAAACGGATTACAGAGCGCATTGCACAGTCGACGGGATCGACAATCGTCTCTAACACGTGTAAAAACAACAATGTAATGACTTCACTTCTCTGATAATTATACAGAGACACGAGCGCACAAATGTCGAACTCCGATATTGCCGCTGTGGTTGTGGGAGAATGAAAGTTACTTAGTTTCCGGACACACGTCTCGTATACTTCAATTTTAACAAACATACCTGTTTGAAATATTCCTTTTGATAATCCTGAAAATTACTGATTTATTCATTACAGCAGCGATTTGATGATGGTTTATTAATGGATAACTGATTTATGAATTTTTTTCATGCTTTAAGAAGTAATTTTATCTTTAATTTCGTTCTTCGTTTTATCTTTATATCGTTCGTTGTCCATTCATTTTCAGGGGTCTCAATATTCAGGTATGCTCTGAACTTCTGAGTTTATCAAAGGGTCTCGATTCTGAAGAGGCTAGAAAGCGGTTTCAGTTTTATGGACCCAACTCAATGCGCGTTGAAGTCACCCCTGTTATTTCTCTTCTTCTGAGGGAGGTAAGATTATTTGAAACATTTTCTTTTTCTTCAATTTTTATTTTTTTGAAATGAAGACAGCTATATTTTTTTTAATCGATCACAAATCTCGAAAAAGTTAAAATGAGGGCTTTCAAATTAATAGTTCTCTCAAATGGTACTGTGGCCGCGTAGCCTAGTGGTCAAGGTATTGGATCATGGCAGGCACGTCATGAGTTCGAGCCCAGTACCACTAAAAACCCGCTGTATAAGGCATCGATGCATGTTAAATCGGTCGAGAGCTCAAACGTCCTCCCGTTGGTGTGATGTGGTAGTTAGGAGAGGGGGTGCCAGCTCAGGTGTCATCCACGTCACTTGACTATGGTTCAAAATTATGTGGTCCGTCGTCAAAAGGCCTCGTGTAGCTGAACAGTGCGACGTTAATATTCACTCACTCACTCAATCGCGTTGTTTCCAATTTTATGTTCCACATCACATTTCTAAGCTGAATCATAGTGAGACCTTAGATTCTAAACACAGTTACTTAAATTACACAGTTAAGTCGTTTTCTTTTTAAAGGAAGCCATTTAAAAAAAAAATTGAAAACCGTTACGGGACTATTGTTGAAAATTTATTGAATCTGTTAGATTCTTCACCGATAAAAAAATGATATTTTCATTTATCACCTCCATTATTTCGTATTAATTAAATACAATGACAAAGTGCGAAAAAGTCAACATGATCCTTAATAGTGAGCTATTCTTTTTCCAAACGAAAGGTAAGAATTACTTCGTTATTATACCAAATGAAATGCGAATTAGATCTTAAATTGCTATGTATATTGTATAATTATTGATTTTCTTTCTGATACCTTTTCCTGAGCTTGAAACTTAACGACCCCAAAACGTAAATAAATATCATAATCTATACCAGGGGTCAGCCACCTATGGCACGCGTGCCCCATGCGGCACGTGGTACAATTTTCAGTGGAAACTCTGCACTTCTCTACAAATTTGACAATTTTGAGTGGATGGAAGTTGATTAATTTATAATATACCTCTCTCTCTTATTTGACAAACATATTCAGAATTATGGACATTTACGGAATCTGAAAGCTCACTCTAAAGATAAATTTACAGCTGCTTTGTAAAGGATTGAATGTCACTGCTGGAGCGATTTAATTGTTTGAAGAGAGAAAATAGCATGGACTCTGCTTTCTGGTTTTGGTTTTAAGTAAAATATCTTTCAAGTTTTCAAAGAAGATGTTTAACAACTGAAAGCTCAGAATCGTGTCAAATTGAAAGTCACAATTTTTACCCCCGATTTTGCGATATGAAAGTAAAGTTGTGTAAACAGTAGGTTCACATTAAAATTTTTATTTATCTTTTTATTTAACTATAATGAAGGGAAATACTTATATTTCATGTTGTCTATTTTTTATTTTTATAAATGTTTTAAAATGCAAAATACAGTCGAACCTCCATATAACGAGCCTCTATATTGCGAATTTTTCTATAGGACGAACTTTTTCCTGGAACCAAGAACATTTCACGATTTTCTTCGTAAAATAACCTCCTTATAGCGAAGTGCATTTTCTTTTACGAACTTTTTTCTTGTTATTCAATTTTTTTCCCACGATGTTTTAAGTATCTATGAACATTTCAAGTTATTCTCTCTTTTAACACATTTTATGGTGGTCACAAAGGGAGTTTGGGTGCATTGCAAAGATGTGAGGTGTATATATATATTATGAAATAAAGCATTTTTTCGAACAAAAAACTTGAACAAAATTAACAGATTTTATGAATAATTAAATTTAAGGACGCATGTGGCAAAGTTGGTTTAGAATCTTTCATTTTAATATAATTTTTTTGTTTAAAATTACTAGTATGATTTAAATAAGAAAATGTCCTTATAAATTCATTAATTTTAATATAAAATTATTTTCTTAATGCTGAAAATGCAGTCTATTCCTCGAGATTCTTTTTTCTTGTTTTCGTAGCAGTTTTTCTTTCTTTTCTTTTCTTTTTTTGATGGATAAGATATATAAAATAAATAGATATTAATTTACAAAAAGGTGTGAATAATTACTTTTTTAATACATAATGTTTATGAATTTAAAATTTATTTTATGTGGTTTATATATAAAATATATTAAAAGAGATGAACCTCTATATAACGAATTTTCCATAGAGCGAACTTTTTTCGGGATTTAGCGACTACGTTAAATAAAGGTCTGACTGCATATATACAATTCTAATTTCTTATTTTGTTTTTGTTGAAGAAATGTCTATATGTATTTTATGCTATCTAATTAAATAGCATAATAGCATATAGTAAAATAACATAAAAATTTATGTTAGGCATCATTTAAAGGTAATTCTTAACTAATATATAATAAACTGTAAATCTATAATGTAGGCCTCTATTCTCAACTCTGAATGCATTTTCGCGGGAATCGAATTGTTTCAAAAATATCCTACTGTGTGGCATGCTGAATACTATTGGTAGATTGGTTTGGCACGCCACAGATAAAAAAGGTTGCCGATTCCTGATCTGTACAAATAAAAAAAAAAAAGAGAAAACGCGCAGAAATGTAAAATTTGGCAAACATTAACTATGCATTTGACGATTTGCTCTTCAAAAAGAGTTTTTCAAAATTAAATTTTTTAAAAAAATTATAAAGCAATTTTAAAGTGATTCTTCATAGCTATGGCAATATGACAAGCCATGTCTAACAATCCAATAAATAATTCTTGAGTTTTTAATTTGTTACATTTTTATTATATAATTATATTTATTTATCGTTGCATTCTTTCATTGACTTAATCTTGGTGGGAAAATTAGAATATTTTAGTTTTGGCAACACGATTTGTGTTTACAGTTTCGGCTTCGTTGTCTGAAGTAATTCGTTCTGAATTACATGCATTTCTCTTTATTTACCATTTTTACATCTTTTTTCTTGTCATTAATCACGCAGATTTTGAAATAAATCTTTTCTTTTCCCGTTTTAGATAAGAAGTCCATTTTACATGTATCAAAGTTTTACTGTGATAATCTGGTTTCTGCAACTTTATTACCAGTTTGGGATCTGCATCATTATCTTATCTGTTATATCTGTTTCTGCAACGGTTTGGGAGACAAGAAAGGTAAGTGTAACTTGTTGCCCCATGACTAAAAAATTATTTTTAAAAAAAATGTATGTTTGACCAAATTCCAAGTCTAAAGGTCTTATCAAACATATACGCATCTAGAACAGTTTTCCTTTCAAGCAACCCTTTCGAACAATTTCCGCCTAGTTGCCTTATTTGCAACTTCGAGCTACTTTTCTTAGTGAGCTGAAAGAATTGTTCGAAATTACGATTGCTCAAGATTCCAGACAGTAGGGTTCTTCGTCACC